GTAACCCAGCATAGAACTGGGAGAATGAACAGCAGACCCCAATCTTATCTAAAGGAATATTGACAACTGATTGCTGCTAGATGAGGAACAGCTGACCTTCCTAAAACAAAGACCTCTAGATAGGCTGACTAGATTCACCAGATGGACAAGTGCTGGGGAATGGTTGGGGGTGCCGACAACACAGCAGACAGTAGCAGGGATATCAGAGTATAAGGGCTCTAGTGGGGGGAGGGAGGCTATGGGAGGGTGCCATCTGGGAAGTGGGTATATAGATGAATAAAATTGGGATGTTCTGTGTGATGTACAGACAAAAAAATCAACAAATTTAAAAATGAGTTATATTTGAAGAAGCATAAAAATTTCTGCCATGTTAATTAGTAGAGGTGATAAACATTACCATTGAACTCTACCCGATGACTTTATATCCATATACAGATGCCAAGGATCCAAGTGCAACTGACCATGAGTAGTAATAATCAGATACATACAGATTAGAGATGCATGCGCCAACATCTCAGTGTTAGTAGCAAAAAACGATTCTTTCTGTAAGAAACAGTATATTTTAAAATGAAATGGAGGTCTTTCTTAAAGGTTAAAAACTCATTCAATTTTATGTCTTACAGGGTTTATAACTGAGTTCAATATTGTATAACTATTCAACTGCGAACCTAAAAATTTTACAGCCACTTTGGAAAGAGATGTATCTTTGCTCTAGAAATTGTTATTGTGTATGTTAAAGCTGTAATGAAATGCTTCTTCTAAAAAAATTTAAAAAATTAAAAACAAAAAACTACTGGGTTAGTTGGGTCTTGCTTGTGACATGGTGTAGCTATGGTCAGTCTTGAAGTACCTTATCACACCAGCCTTCAGAGTGGCTCTGCCCTGCCTGAGGCTCCTCAGCTCATCCTCCTCAGTGGTACAAGGTTTAAAGAGAGTTGGTGGTCCTGAAATGTTATGTCAGGAGAACTAGATAGAACAGGATGAATAAAGACATAGAATCTTTGAGTCAGCGTGCTGGGGATCAGGTAGTTGGAATATGATCTTGCTTAGCTGTCCCCCTTTCTAGGATGGAGATGGTGAGTCAACAAGGTAGCATGGGTCTAGGTCTTGTGAGAGCTTATCTATTGGCCTACTGTAGCTCTTACTGTGTTATGTGTCTTGTCCCCTTGGTAGAGAGAAATTTGGTTCATTGAAAACTGTCTACATCTAAATATACTTTATTTTTTCCCCCATTTTTAGGAAGAAGTAAGTCTAATTTGGGATGGACACCTCTTCATCTGGCATGCTATTTTGGACATAAACAAGTGGTCCACGATCTGTTGAAGGTCTATTTATAGCTTTAATTTTTAATGACTGTAATACTGTGGGAATTACATGATGAAAGCCTTAGAAAAAGCATCTGATCCACAATAGTTTATTTAATGTAGTAGCTCATTCTTACTCTTAGTTTTCTTTACTAAACATGTGAATTAGGCTACTTTGAGTTATAAATTCTGTTTCTCTAGTTTCATTTTTACATTACCTTTTAAATTTAAAGTAGGCATTCTAATACAGATACAATTTTCAGCTTTAAGCATGACAGTTAAGAAAAAGAACCAAATCACTTTCCAAACAACTAAAAAATTTCAGAATCTCAGTGAACACTGTGCTTAGTGAGGATTGAGGCCTCTAATTTCTCTCTTGATAATATTTTTATATAGGACTATTTTTGAAATAGGAATATTTTTGTTTATATCTTATGATTAACTTGTACATTTAAATGATGACATCTTTTTTTTTTAACTTGAAAACTTGTTAACTTGATGATAGAGGAAATACTTTTATATCTATAGACAGTTCTTTAAAAATTATGACTAATAAAGTAGAAAGGAGACAGCTTTGTCTGTCTTTTTGAGACAGGGTCTCCCTGTAGCCCCAGCTGACCTAGAACTCACTATGTAGACCAGGCTGGCCTTGAACTCAGAGATCTGCCTGCCTTTGCCTCCCAAGTGCTGGGACTAAAGGTATGAGTCACCACGCTTGGCAGGAGACAGATTTCTAAGTGAAGTTCTTTTAAAATTCTGCTTATGGGGCTGGAGAGATGGCTTGGCGGTTAAGAACACTGGTTGTTCTTGCAGAAGACCCAGGTTCGTATCCCAGCACCCACATGGCAGTTAACAACTGTCCGTTACTCCAGTCCCAGGGGCTCCAACAGCCTCTTCTGATTTCCATGGGCATTGCACGACATGGGTACACTTACCTACCTGCAGGCAATGCACGCATACACATAAAATAAAAATAAATATAATACTAAAAAAAATAAAATTCTGCTTATGAAATTCTGCCTAGAAGGCTGTTTGCCTTCCTCTACTGTTTATTCAATTTTACTATGAATTTACTTTTAGTAGCAGTAGTGTTAACAATTATTTTAATTTTTTAAATATTTAGTAATTTTTGCTTTTTGTATTTATTGTCTGGACATTATTTAAAGTTTTCATCTTTACTAGGCTGGTGCAAAAGTGAATGTGTTAAATGACATGGGGGACACGCCACTGCATCGAGCTGCCTTCACGGGACGAAAGGTGAAAAACATTTTGCTTTTGGTGTTTACAAGTGAAATAGTTGAAAGAGTAGTCACTATTGTTTTTGTGTCCTGGCCATCTGCCAAGGGAAGAAGCAATGAAGGATAGAAACCAGCCTGTTAGTCAGAAGGGTACATGGTCTTAAGAGCTGAACAGCGAGGTTAGATACTAGACCACAGGACTCCCAGTATCATCCCAATGGAGTGGGCTCAACCTCTACATCGGGGAACTCATGACTGTCCCTTTTGAAAAAAAGATTCATTAAAGTATAATTAATACTGTGTAAATTCACCTATTGTGAGTGTGCATTTTAATGATTTGTAGTCTATTTACATAGTTGTGTATTCAACATAATCCAGTATTAGAACATTTCTTTGCCCTAGTAAGTTTCCTGGATCCTCTTTTACATTCATTCCCTGTGCCTGCCTCAAGCATCAGGTTGCCATTTGTTTTCTGTCTCAAGATACTTGCCTTTTCTAGAAATTTCTTATAAATGGAATCTCATACTGTAACTGGCTTCTTTAATTGAGCATATTGATGAGGGTCAGTTGTTCTGCAGCGTATAGCAGTAGTTTGTTCTACTTTATGGCTAAATAATCCATCGAATAAATGTGCCACATGTGTTATCTAGTCCTCATTTATTGAAACTACTTGTTCGCATAGTATTGCCTTAGCATCTTTGTTGAAAATCAGTTGTTATTGAGTGTGACTGAGTATGATTGTTGTTGCAGGACTGGGGGAGCTGAGGCAAGAGGGTCTCAAATTCAAGGACACCCTGGACTATGTAATGAGACAGTCCCCCAAAAAATCATATGAGGGCTGGAGAGATGGCTAACCGGTTAAGAACACTGACTGTTCTTGCAGAAGACCCGGGTTGGAATCCCAGCACCCGCATGGCAGCTAACAACTGTCCGTAACTCCAGTCCCAGGGGATCCAACAACCTCTTCCGACCTCCATGGACATTGCATGACACAGGTGCACTTACCTACACTCAAGCCATACACGCATACACATAAAATAAAAATAATAAATAAACTTAAAAAAAATCATCTGGATGTGTTGGTGCAGACCTTTGATCCCAGACTCAGGCAGAGGCAGGCATAGCTCTCTGCATGAGACAATCCTGGTCTACGTTGCAAGTTCCAGGCCAGCTGGTGGTACATAGTGAGACTGTGTCTCAAAAAAAAAAAAAAAAAAAAGAAAATCGGTTATTTATAAATGTAAAGGTTTATTTCTACATTTCCTCTTTGAACTCTATGTGAACTCTGTGTGTGTGTGTGTGTGTGTGTGTGTGTGTGTGTGTGTGTGTATCAATTATAGTAGCTTTATATTTAGGTGTTTGTGGTGCAGGGGATCAAACACAGGGCCTTATGCATGTTAGGCATGTACTCTGCTACTGAGCTTACATACCTAACCCTTGTTTTTTTTTTTAAAATTTATTATTTTTATTTTATATGTGTGAGTGTATTGCCTGCATGTATGTAAGTGTGCCCATGTCATGCAGTGCCTGCAGAGGTCAGAAGAAGGCGTCGGATCCCTTGGAATAGTATTGTGGATGGTTAGTCACCACGTGGGTGCTGGGAACCGACCTTGGGTCTTCTGCAAGAACAGTCAGTGCTCTTACCTGCTAAACTATCTCTCCAGCCCACCCCCTAGCCCTCGTTTTATGAGATAGGGCTTCACTGTATAGTTCAGACTGGTTTAAGCTGGTTTGTATAGTACAGGTCGGCCTCAAACTTATGATCCTCCTGTCTCTGCCTCTGGTGTTCTGAGATTACAGGTCTGCACCAACACTCCTGGCTTATAACTCACTTGTGATGTTGAATAGAGTAAGTTCTGCAGCACAGTTTTAGAAAATCAGTCTCTCTCTCTCTCTCTCTCCCCCACTCCCTCCCTCCCTCCCTCTCTCCCCCCCCATGATGTTGGATAGAGTAAGTTCTGCAGCACAGTTTTAGAAAATCCCCCCCATACACACACCTTTTATTTCCATAGGAATTTTAGAATTGTTTTGCCAGTTTCTGTTAAATGCCTGATGGAATTTTGATAGTTTGTGCATAGGTCAGTTAGAAAAGAATTGCCATCTTACAGTTTGGAGTCTTTGGACCTCTGAGCATGAGATGGCAAGCTTCATTTATTTAGAACTTGAATTTCTCTCAGCGGTGTTGAAGTTTTCAGTATACAGATCTAGGGCTCATTGTGTTAAATTTATTAACTGGTCTGACATTAATGTGTGGAATCTGGACTGAGTATGGCCACACAGTACCTCTGCTGAGTTCTCTCTCTCTCTTTCTTTCTCTCTCTCTTTCTCTCTCTCTCTCTCTCTCTCTCTCTCTCTCTCTCTCTCTCTGTGTGTGTGTGTGTGTATTTGTGTTGCATGCCTTCATGTTTGTGGCTGTGTTCTCAGGCACATGGGTATGGAGGCCAGAAGAAGATGGTAGAAACACCCTACTCTATCACTCTCCACCTTATTTCTTTGAGACAGGTTCTCTTACTGACCCTGGAGATAGGTTGGCAGCCATTATGTCCCCACATGTCTTGTTTCTGACCTTTACAGTGCTGGATTTATAGATGGGCATGTAAACATGCCCAGCTTTTTATGTGGTTTCTGGGGATTTGAACTGAGATCCTCATGCTTGTGCATCAAGTGGTCTTTCCTGCTGAGCCATCTCCCCAGCCCCTCTGCTGAGGTTTTAAAAACATACAATTTAATATTTCAGAGTCATTTTCTAGCACCACTGCATCTGCATAGCTTAGAGATCAGCCAATATCAAGGCAGCTGTGGGCTCAAGTCCCATGGAGCCTCTGCTCCGCCTGTGTACGTCTGCATAGTTTGGGTAGCTCTTTGAGAGTCAGCCAGTTCTCATATCTGCCTCTGCTCTGTCTAAAGGGCCTGCTCTCATGTGCACATGAGTTGGGGCCATGTGGAAGGCCTCAGTTTCTCTGTTTCTATCTCCAGGATTCCTCTGATTGGGCGAATGGAAAAAGCCTCATACCTATGTGGTAGGCAGAATAGTGGCTCTCAAGGATGTCTGCACACTAATCTTTGATATTTGTGAATGTTTGATTTCATGGCCAGGGAAATTAAAACTTCAGGTGGAATCGAGATTGCTCTTCAGCTGACCACAGATGGAAAAGTTCCTTTGGGTTATCCAGTGCAAGCATAAGAGCCCTTAGAAGTGGTAGTGGGAGCTGGGAGGAGCTGAAACAGGAAATGTGTTCTGCTAGATGCTATGCTGCTGGCTTGGGAAATGGAGGAAGCCGTAAGTCAAGGAGTGTTGATGCCTAGAAAAGCAAGAAAAGCAGTGAGAGTGCCACAGAGCTTCTGGAAGGAACCAGTTCCAAACTGCTTTGATTTTACCCAGTGAGCCGCATTTCAGACTGACAGAATACAGAGCATAACAAATCTGCAAAGTTTTAAGCCACTGAATTTGTAGGAATTTGTTAAAGCAGCAATAGAAAGCTAAGTCTAATTGGAAAAGCACCCTCATGCTATCAAGTTCCATAGATTTCTCATTTATTTCCTACTAATAATGCCTCGGTGTGAGTTTTGGTCTTTGGTTCCAAGTTGAGTCAGTTCCTGGTGCCAGCAAAGCTGCTGATTGTCACCACCCACTGCACCTGAGACAAATCCTTTGGTGAAGTGAGGGCAACGTGAGTGCCTCAGCTAGAAGGGTGAAGGACCCTAGGTTTAGTTGATTCTCTTGGTCTGTCCATTCCTCAAGTAGCAAGTGCCCTTAGGGACCAGAGGTATGTCAGATACTCTGGAGCTAGAATTACATGATGGTTGCTGGGAACCAAATTCAAATCTTCTGGAAGAGACCTGAGTTTTTTGTTTCTGTTTTGTTTTGGGGTTTTTTTTGGTCTTTTTGAGACAGGGTCTCTGTAGCCCCAGCTGTCCTGGAACTCATTATGTAGACCAGGCTGACCTTGAACTCACAGAGATCCACCTGCCTCTGCCTCCTGAGTACTGGGATTAAAGGCGTGCGCCACCACGCCTGGTGGTCTGTCCATTCTTTAGCTACCCAGCATTATGAAATGGTTCATTTTGATGACTTTGTTTCCTGGTCATTTTTGAGGATAACAGTTCTCTGAGCTCTTATAATGCCACAGTAGGTAGAAATTACTGCACCTGAGTTTCATGATCTATTTGAATAAGTGATTTGGTAAATTGGTCCTGACAGTATTTGTTTGCTCCTTTGTCCAACATGATGGATAAGGGTTGTTTTTATAACATAGGTTAAACGTAAAGTTATGACATAATTTATAACTTAAATGCTTCTTCATCAGAAGTTAGAGTGAATGTTATATTGCTTCATGCTTTTTATCATTCTAATGATGAGATTTTTATATAAATTACCATAAATCTACCTAAACATGCTGAGAACATTTGAATGAATCCATTTTGCACCCTTTTTACCCATTTGTTCATAAGTTGATATTTGTGAACCTGATGTGAAGCCTTAACTAAAGCTGAGACAGAAGGCACCCTTTATAATAGGACAGCATGTAGTGGGTTCATGGCTGTGCTTGACTCCATTCACCTGAGGTGGATGAGCGAACACCTTGTGATGCCCCTTTGTGGCCCTAAACACCTCATCCTTTTCTGTGGCCCCCAGGATATTGTTGTTTCTTCCCACATGAACCACATCTACCCACTTTTGAAAATGTGAGCTCTACATTCTTTCCTGACTTCTTGCAGCTCATAGGAAGCTGTGTTTTTCCATGTTTCTCAGGCACATGACTGCATCTTCTCCCACCTTACCCTTGTATTAGTTATTTCTGTGTGTGTCCTAACTCTCCTATGAGGCCATTTCAGTCTTACAGGGAATCAGTACATTTCGTTTTGTCCTGTATGAATACAATGCAGGTTTCACTGTCCGTAGCTGGTTGCTTAGAGCCAGTCACTGCATCACCTGCTGCTCACATATTTTCCCACTTCTGCTGTTTTCTTGAACTCTGAATGTAATCATTCTGAATTGGGCCTTAGTCTGACAAATCA